CCCCAAAACCCCAAAACCCCAAAACCCCAAAACCCCAAAACCCCTTAAAGAAAAATGCTAGATTAATCAATAATACATAAATATAAAAGATAAAAATGAACCCAGCAGGAAATATTGGATCAGGAGCTGCAGGCTCAAGTGCTTCTACCTTGCCACCACCATAATTTTTCGTCGATCACAAAAAAGGTGAAGTCAATGAGTTGAAATAGTAAGTTTGAAAATCAGTTGATTTATCAATAAGTATATCTAAATTTTTCCTACAAGGAAATCTAATTGGAATGTATTAGGCTATTGAGAGCAGTGAGTTTGGACAAAGATATCAACAAAAGACGTGATGTTATCAAAAAGGTTATAGCTTATATGACTCTAGGTATTGATGTTTCAAGATTGTACCCTGAGATGGTCAAAGCTTCAATGACAGATGATGTTGTTATGAAGAAAATGATTTACCTTTATCTTATTAACTATGCCGAACAGAATTAAGAGCTAGCTATTTTAGCTATTAACACATTCTTGATGGATTGCAAACAACAGAATCACAAAATTAGAGGTCTTGCTCTGAGAAGTTTATGTTCTTTGAGATTTGAAGGTGTTCAGTAATATCTATAGTAAGCAATCTAAGAAGGATTAAATGATGTTGATCCATATGTAAAAAAGACTGCTATTATTGGGTGTGTTAAGTTTTATCATATGTCCAAGAAGGACTTCAAAAGTAATAATTTCTATTCTTATTTATAAAATAGAGACTGATTTCTTGGATACTCTGTACAAACTTACTAAGGATCATGATGCTTTAGTCGTTATTAATGCTATAGAAGCAATAAATGAAATTAGAGCCAATAAAGGAGGGATAGATATATAGAGACCACTAGTCATTCATCTACTTAATAGAATCAAAGATTTCAATGAATGGGGTCAAAGCATTATTCTAGATTTAACTTCAAAATATACACCCTCTACTTAAGAAGAGATGTACGATATCATGAATCTTTTGGAAGACAGATTTAAGCATGCTAGTTCTTCCGTTGTTCTAGGAGCTGTAAAAGTATTTTTGCATCTAACTAAGGATGATGAAATTCTTTGCAGGCAGGTTTTTGAAAGGCTACAAGCACCATTGATTACTCTAATGACTTCTAGTGAGACTACTGAGAGCTATGAAGTATCCTTTAACGTACTTTCTCATATTCATCTGCTAGTGGTAAAAGGAGCTAATCAAGTTTTTGAGTCTGAATACAAGCACTTCTTTATTAAATACGATGAACCATCATATATCAAGAATTTAAAACTAGAGATATTGGCATATGTTGCTAGTCCAAACAATATCTAGGAGATAGTAAATGAACTTAGTGAATATGTCACAGATGTTAATGCTGAGATAGCGAAGAAGAGTATCAAGTGCTTTGGAACCATTATTATTAGACTGACTAAAATGTCAAAGACTGTAGCTGCTCAGTTGAGAAACTTCTTATCACTTAGAATCAGCTATGTTACTACTGAAACAGTGATTGTTTTGAAAGACATCCTGAGAAAGTACAGAAACTTTATCGACGACTTTATCCCCTTTTTCTCAAAAATTTCTCTTGATTAAATCATTGAAGTAGAAGGAAAATGCGCATACGCTTGGATTCTAGGAGAGTTCGGAGAGTCAATCGATGAATCTCCTTACATTCTTGAGAAGATGATTGAAGAGTAAAAAGAATTTAATTCAGTAAAATTATCAGGAGTACTATTGACTGCAACTTTCAAATTATTTTTCAAAAGAGCTCCAGAAGTTTAAAGAATTCTAGGTTCTCTCTTAGAATCTTTGATTAAGAATGTTAATGAAACTGATTTAAAATAAAGAGCTGTATTTTACTTCAGGCTATTGAAAACTGATGTCGGCCTGGCTGAGAAGATTGTCACTGGCTCTTAAGAGAAGATCCATGAATTTTATGAAGATAAAAATGAAGAACTTAGGGAAAGGCTTTTCCTCGAGTTCAACTCACTATCTGTTGTTTATCAGAAGCCTTCCGAGAGATTCTTGAAAGATTAGATTCTCCGACAAGCTTAAGCAATTGAGAAGAAATACTACTCAAAAGGAAGATGGGCTAAGTCTGTCAGAGAGAGAACTGTTGGCCAACCAGATGATGACGAAGAATAAGCCGAAGCTACCAATAAAATTAAGGTAACAGAATAGTAGTAAACAGTTGCATCTCTTGATGATTTGCTTGACTTTGGAGGCTCATCATCTCAATCAAATATTACTTAAAACAGTTCAAACACAAACACCACTCAACCTATTGACCTTTTAGGCGATCTTGATCTAGGAGCCTCATCTGGTAATATGGGAGGATACTAACCATAAGTTTTATAAAACAACAATAATGTAGGTGGAGGTCTCATCTCTGATGATTTAATTAATACAACTGCAGCATATAATCAAAATATGCAAAAGCAAAGTGTTCCCAAATAGCCAACAGTTAATTATGCATTAGATTCTTTATCAGGATTCGACAACAACATGTTTGGTTTAGGTAAAGCCCAACAGACTAACCAGCTAGTCGAGTTGACTCCTACTCCAGATATTGATTCTGAGAGATTCCAGTAACTTTGGATGCAGCTACCAGAATGCTAGAACATTCAAAAGCCATTGAGACAAGATGTAATATTCCAGTGTAGTGATGTAGAGCAGTTACTTGCCTAGCACAGAATCTACTGCATGGCAAGCGGTCAAATTGGAAATGAACTTAAATTCTTCTTTTATGCTTAACTCATGGACAAGAGTGGCTATTTCTTGCTTGAGACATTATTAAACCAGCAAACTAGTGTCCTAACATCCAATCTCAAGACCACAAGAACTGATGTGGGCTTAGCCTTCCTCAACAATCTATATAAAGGTTTCGGAACTTTGCTTCTTTAGTGATCAATATGATTTTATTCTGAATTTACCTAAATTATTAAACTAAAACCCAAAAATTTAATATTTTAATATTAAAAATGTCATTAGTTCAAGGTCCTGATGTGAAACAGAAGGAAAAAGAGGAAAAGTTTCTTAAAGAGCGTCTTGAAATGGAAAGAGAACGTTAGATTAAAGACTAAATAGAATAGCATGAAAGAGAGAAGGATCTTTAAAAAGGAAAGCGAGCTATAAAAAATAGTGGGATATTAGAAGCTTATGATCAGTTACTTGATGATCTGATGAAAAATGGATTGCCAAAGTTATAACTGAATGGAGATTTGTTCGAATACGCTTCATTTTTTATTCAAAAGATCTATAACAATAAGTACATTGCAAGATTATATCACATCATATAGGAAAAAGGAGGAATGGGAATAAAGAAACCGTAGGCTTCAAGAAAGAGAAAAGCATAGAATTAAAACTTCAATGGCTAGTCATAGAAGAGCCAGAAGTGAAGAGCAGTCAGAAGATTCTTATGAATCAAGGAATAGAGGGAGATCTAAGAGTGTAAAAGGGGGCACTAAAGGTAAAAAGGGAGCTAAGTCATAAAGAGGAGATTCCGATGAAAGATCGATTAAAGGCAAGAAAGGAGGCCGATCAAAAAGTGCCAAAGGTGGGAAAAAGGGAGGCGCAAAAAGCAGGGCTGAAAGTCCTGTTTCCACTAAAGGAGGAAAAGGTAAAGGGAAAAAGGGAACCAAGAGTAGGGCAGAGAGTCCAGTTTCAACTAAAGGTGGCAAAGGAGGAAAAGGAGGTGCAAAGAAGGGTGGTCCAAAAAGCCGCAGATCAGAATCTCCCATTTCTACAAAAGGAAAAGGTGGAGGCAAGGGAGGAAAAACTCCAGCAGCAAAAGGTAAAAAGACAATAGATAGTGATGATGAAAGAGGCAGGTCAAAGAGTAGAGGCGGGCTTAAGACAGGAAAGATTGAAACTAAGGAGAGAGCAAAGAGTGCTAAAAAGGTAACGATTGATCCTAAAGATGATAAAGGCAAAGGAAAATAAGAAGAAAGCAAGGGGAAAGGAGGAGAAAAAGGCAGAGATGCCCAATCTAAGGATAAAGGAGCACTTTAAAGAAGTTAATCATAGGGAAAAGTCTTAGAAAAAGGTAAAGGCTAAAAAGAAGAGGAGAAATCTAGGACTAGATAATAATCAGCTAGCTCAAACAAAAAAGGAGCAGTTGCGAATTAGAAAGGTCAACAGTAGTAATAACTTGCAGCATCACCTGATAAGAATAAACAAAAAGGAGGCAAAGCTGAAGAACTTAAAAACCAGGGAAAATAAAGTATAGTGTAACCATCAAACTCCAAATAGTAACCGCAACAACAATAAGACCCTAAGAAACAGTAATCGCAGCAAGAATTACTAAAATCCATCAAGGGCTCTAAAATAGAGGAGACAAAGTAATCTTAACAGTAGGTTCCTGCAAAGAAAAGATGAAGCAAGTTTGCTAAAAATGCCCATAAGAAGTTTTATGATTTACTTAGAATTGTTTTTAAAGTTAAGTTATTTATTTAATTAAGTCTTAAATTAATATAAGTTATATCCCAAAGGGAGCCTATTATATATTTATTGGCAAGGAAATAATTTAATTTACTTCCAATAGCCAGAGCTTTCATGTCTCTATTTATTATTATCGATTGTTCATCATGCCTTGACAAATGGGGATCCACTAAACTTAGCTGCTCCAGAATTTTTAAACTTAGAATTCAAGTACACTCCATTGAAGTTGATTCTAGTTGTCTATTCAACGTTGTACTCTTGGGGTGAGGGTTGATCTGAATTCTTAATAATGGGAAATCTTTGAATTTGAGTAGCAATCATCTTGACATTTCCTTCATTTTTATATTTTGAGTTTGCATAATTACCTGTTTCTGCAATAGTGTCTCTGGGAGTATAGGTGCCTGGACCAGGGATAAAATTTCTGACCATGCCTGTTTAATTGAAAAAATCCAAAAACTAAGTTCTTTGTCTGAAGGAGTAGGCAGGTTGATCTGGATATGCAGCTGTGTCTTGCTTGGGGGCGACGCTTTCGAAATACGTTCCTGGCCCTGGATTCTTCAAAATCTCTGGTTTGATATAATAAGAGGAGTTATAGGACTGATCTCTAGGAGAATTTGCAAATGAAGCATTTGATTTCCTTTTCTTATCAAATATAGATGGTATATTGTAGGCTCCTGGAGCTGGCCCCATTTTATTTTCTCCCAAAACTATAGTTAATTAAGAGACTTCTAAAATTACTTTTAAGATTAACACCTAATGAATCCCTCCTTCCAAATCCATGATTCAAGGTGCTTCTCTACTTTGTTGTGATGCTGATATCATTTTAGGATTATAAATCAATCTTAGAATTAATTGATGGCAAAAACTATGATTAATTATGTTTAAGAGTCTTTTGACTCATAGTTGATTTCAACAATTAATTCTTTTACTTATGCTTTTCCATTGCTTATATCTTTTTATATTATCAAGCTATATTATTTTCTTCTATTTTAACAAAGGGGTTTTGGGGTTTTGGGGAGATCGGAAGAGCACAC